CTAAAATCAAAAAAAAAAAAAAAAAAAAAGGTGAACAGCATGAATGTTAAAAATCTCTAAGATTTTAATTCTCAAAAACAGAACGTAGCATTTTTAGAATTCATTTTCTGCTGCCCTTTTGTCATAGCAGAATTACTTCATGTCCTGAACACTCCCCGTCTCTCACATCCCTAAAATTTGACTACCACTGTATGTGCAATTTAATGTGAATTTTGTAGTTGAGAAGGTTTTTTGGAATCATTTACTCCAGGTAATGCTCAGAGTCTCAAAGGGGTCTAGACTCAAACTGGGTTTGGAACCTCATCAGCTAGGGGTAGGGGAGCAGTGTTAAAACTGATTCTTCCTGCATTTAGTTCATATTCTGAGGTGGCTTGGCCTTCCTGCAGGCAATTAGCACTAACCAGGTGCTGATTGCCAGTTAATAAGCTGTTCCCTTTATTACAAATAAGCATTTGAGGAACTCCCAAAGCATTGTTTGTCATACTGTACTGTTTACACATATCTGGAGATCTTGTTAAAATGCTAGTTCAGATACAGTAGGTCGAGAGTGGAGTCCAAGATTGTACGTTTTTCACAGGCTCATATGTACTGCCCTTGGCTTCTGGTTCAAAGATCATACTTTAAGGAGAAAGGCCCTAAAGTACTTCTGGGAACATAGTTTGAAATAATTTAATAAATGGTGCTGCCTCTCTATTTTGGTTTCTGAAATCTATTAGCTTTTATTTTGTTCAGGTTTGTTATGGATTATGGTTCAGGATTATGTGCAGTGGTTTGCTGCTTACTAGATAGTAGGTATCAGAGCCTTAGCTGAGACATCTGCCAACTGCTTTCTGATCCATGACTAGATTCCCCCGGGAAAAGGAATCAACTATACTTAGCTGGTGGAGTAATAAAGTTCAAAATGACATTTCCTCTTAGTGTCTTCTCCCTTCTTTCTTTCCCTCCAGTTGATGTCATTGCTTTGAAAAAATGATAATTCCTTTAATAAAGGTCTTTGGGCACCTCTCCTCTAGATCATTAACTTTGAACATTTTGTATAGCATTTTCTGGGATGGGAGGAGAGTGTCCCCTGGGAAATAAGTGTACTTCTTTCTCCTGCCATGGAATAGCCCTGCCCCAAATTTGCCCCAAACCTAAAAGCCAATGAAAATCAAGAAAATTGTGAAGTTATGTTTGCTTTTGATGAAATAGTGCTGTTTCTAAGACATTTGGGATTTTGAAAATTTGACTGTTTCTGCTTATACAGGGCTTCAGTAGACTTACTTGAAATCTGAACCAGCGTACCTAATAGTTTTGAATGGTCCCAAGTGCTTCTGTGCCCTAACTCATTCCATTTCTGGATTATATATATGACTTACATATATAACTTATATATAACTCTCAGGGTTATATATAAGACCCTACCTAAGGGCTGTTTGAGTATTTGATAAGACTGGCCAGAAATTAGAAAGGTTTTCTCAAACTTCTAAAACTTAAGTTTTGGTCTTCCTGCTAGTTTTTCCTAAATTAAAAGAGCATTGTTTTCTCCCTTCCCTTTCCTTTACCCCCTTCTTACCCAGAGTGAACACAAATGGATCAGAAGACCCAGAGGATGCAGGGTCTGGTGAAAATAGGAAGGTCAATGGGAATAATTCTCCATCACTCTCAAATGGTGGTTTTAAACCTTCTAGGCCTCCAAGACCTTCACGGCCACCTCCACCTACCCCACGTAGACCAGGTGTGTATTCCAGCCGTATACTAGGGATGTTGCTCTTATACTGTGATTGTAAATAATGTTATGTTTGGGAATTGATCCTCAGGTAAGTCTTAAGAACCCCTTTTAGGTTAGTTTTCTAGCTCTATTATTACATTAAAGATTTTGGCCAAGAATGCTCTTTTTTTATTTTTTTAAAAATATATCTTTATTGATTTCAGAGAGAGGGGGAGAGATAGAAACATCAGTGATGAGAGAGTCATTGACCGGCTGCCTCCTGCCTGCCCCCAATTGGGGATTGAGCCTGCAACCCGGGCATGTGCCCTGACTGGGAATCGAACCACAATCTCCTGGATCCTAGGTCGATGCTCAACCTGCTGATCCACGCCCGGCTGGGCTTTTTCTTTTTAAAAGCCTTATAAGACTTTATTTGAACCAAGCTGACAATTGTCAGGAAGCGAAATCTCTATAGATTAAGAAAATGCTCCAGAGAATAGCAATTTTGCACCTTATTTTATACATTAGAATCAAAGGAGGAGACATAAGGAGAGTTACATGAAATCAGTTGATGGTAGATTAGGGGGTGGGATTGGATAAAAAGTAAAACGGAGAGACACATACTTCTTTTACACCGGTGGGTAGAGGGTAGTTAAATTAATACAGTCCATAGAGATGGTATGTGTGCAACAAGATAACAATGAGGAGCTCTGTGGTTTCCAGCTCTGGTTCTGTCTGTGTGCCTTAAGAATGACTTTTCTCTAGGTAACTAAGACTTGTCTTTTCCCTAAGTTTTTCCTCCAGGGGTGACGTTAACAAGGCTTGTGCTCTATTCAGAATGAAAATCACATGTACATTATATAAACTATAGGCAGTACAGATAATAATGTAACTTTCTGTCAGGGTTTGTAACTGTTTGGACATTAGTATGCCATAGAATTAAGGGTCCGGTTGCTTATTCTCATTATATCCTATAGAAAGACAATTAATAAATGGCAAGTAATGCTAAATGATAATTCAGATTTTAAAGCAAAACTTATATAACAAATGAACATACTTCATGTGGTAAAAATGTAAACATCTACAGGTAGAATATCCATTTTTTTCCTGACTAGCCAGAACAAATCTTTAATCTTTTATTATTTCCCTCTGGTAGTATGTGGACAGGGAATGTAAAATAATTAAACCAAATATTAGAAAAGTAACTTGGTTGTCTACAAATTATTTTGTTAAATGACTTTGTGTTTAATTATACATCTTCCCCGTTTTTCTATAGATAATTGTGTTAACAATATATTCCCATTCTTCAAGATCATATACTACTTTGTCATAATATTGGTGACTTCCTCCAGGAATTGTTTTGTCAACAAATATTTCTTGAAGATATACTGTGTACCTAATAACCATCTTTATCAATCAGATCTTCCATATTATAACTAATATAAAAAATTGATCTCTGATCTGCAGGGTTTCGGAGGAGAGACAGTTTTAAGGATTTGGAAAATTACTAAGTGAACTTAATAATATCATGGAATACCAACACACCTATTCTAAAAGCATTTATTTCCTGTGGCATCAGGAAATCAGAATCTGTTCTTCATAATTAAAATAGAACATGGGATAGAAGAATCTAAAAAATGTAAACAAGCCTATTTAGTGAGACCATTGGCTGTTTCCCATTATTTATTTTAATTAAGTTCATCTTACCTGCATATCCACATACTAAATTTTATATTTTTCATCTACCTTTCTATTTTTTAAAGTTAAAATGTTATCCTAATTTCTGAAAATAAAAGATTGTTTTCCTGTTTTTTTCCAAATCTTTTATAGCATCTGTCAATGGGTCACCTTCTGCCACTTCTGAAAGTGATGGATCTAGTACAGGCTCTCTGCCACCAACAAATACAAATTCAAATACATCTGAGGGAGCAACGTCTGGATTAATAATTCCTCTTACTATATCTGGAGGCTCTGGCCCTAGGCCATTAAATCCTGTACCCCAAGCTCCTCTACCACCTGGGTGAGTAACTGCTTTTGGTTGACATTTGTTTTCTTTTGGTGACTGTATATACTTACTAATAAGGAAAATAATACTAAACTCCCATTCTTTAAAAAGCTGTCCTCAAGCAATTGTAACTGATTTTGGTGGGGATATAGAGTCACACTGAACCCAAAAAAGTTCGCCATATTTGAAATTTTTACCCTCATTTCCAGGGCAAAGTAGAAGAATTTATTTATTTTTAACTGAAAGACTCTGAACCACAGAAAGGTTTAACCAAGACCAAGTAGTAAAATAGTCACCTAATTCAAATTGCCTTTTTTAAGGGAAAAAAAGAAATCACTTTTTAAAGTAAAATAGGAAACTGAGAAAAATTAGTGCTCATAATCCCATTTTAATCACTGCTGGTTATTTTTAAAATTAATAATACTCTAATAGAATATATATGTGTATACATTGTGGCATTCACATTAATCCAGAGCTCAGAATGCTAAACACTCTTGATGAAATTTTTTTTTTTTTTTTTAAATATATCTTTATTGATTTCAGAGAGAGGACAGGAAAGGGAGAGAGAGAGATAGAAACATCAATGATGAGAGAGTCATTGATCGAGACTGCAACCTGGGCATGTCCCCTGACCGGGAATCGAACCCCGATCTCCTGGATCCTAAGTTGACACTCAACCACTGAGCCACGCCCGGCCGGGCTCTTGATGAAAATTTTAATGGCTAAGCAAAGTATGTATTACTTGTGTGGTAGTTAGGCCATTTTCCTTTTGGAAAGCCTCCATGGGAAGCCAAATCAGAAAGTTGTTTGTGCAGGGCATACCAAAGAGAAGCTGAGTGCTCTTAGAATGATTGTCACTTTGAAGCCGTGATGGTTTAGTCCTCCACACTTTGGAGGTAAACCTACCAAGGAGACTAGAATACTCAGAATGACTTTGTCTGTTGCACGGTGCAGACACATCTGATTAGTCTTACTCTTTGCTTTCAGTGTGTCTGGAACCCAAATATTTCTTTGTCTTTCAGTTAGCAGTTCATTAGTTTTTCTTTAGATTTCATAGCTTTAATTACAGCTTTCTTTTCCACTCAAGTCCTGCATGTACCCTGATCAGATTGAGACAAAGTTTGTCTCCTAAGTGTGTCAACCTTAAGGCTCTTTAGAAATACAAGGCTTCTCCTGGAGCAGGTACTTGATACTTCTGCAGAAGAAATCTCCTCCACCGTGTGTCACCCTCAGGATAACATTTCTTGATTTTGTTCCTAAATTCTTGACATGCTGATTTGCCTCAGTTCTGTAATATGGTCATATAAGAGAAAAAGGCAGAGACGGAATTAAAAATCCAGGCTACTCATACAAGTACCATACCAGCCTTTTTTATTTTGTGTTTAAGTTGGGAGCAGAGAGTGGACCAGCATGGGCGAGTTTACTACGTAGATCATATTGAAAAAAGAACAACGTGGGATAGGCCAGAACCTCTACCTCCTGGGTAAGTGTCTGAATTAAAGAAGAGAAAAAATGTTTATTCAGAAATATAGGTTATGTCTGTACAGAATCTTCACCACATTCTTTTCAACTCTTCCTATTTTTTCTCCATCCACTTTGTTTTGTGGTAGGTGTACACTAGGAAAAAAAAGAGTCAGAGAACTGATAGTGCATAATGAATGATTTTAATTTTCACTCATTTCTGATTCTCTCATTTCACTCATAGCAAGATTCTATAGGTCTTGCTACTTCCAAGTTTTCCTTTCTGAATTTTAACTACCTCAAACCACAGGGTTTTAGGGATTAGTTTCTTCAAGAGTAATTATTTAACTGAATAAGAATTACAGCCCCTATCATATAGATGATGATAAAGTCCCTATTTTATATGAAAAAATGTTAATATATAATAGTGAAATCATTGCAAAATAATTGGAATAAAGAATATTTATTATTAATTAATTAATTAATTTATTTATTTTTAAATTTTCACTTGAGGATATGTTTATTGATGAGAGAAAGAGAGATGTGAGAGAGAAACATAGATCAGTTGCTTCCTATACGTGCCCTGACCAGGGATTCAATCTGAAACCTAGGTATGTGCCCTGACTAGGAATTGAACCCTCAGCTTTTTGGTGTATGGGACGATGCTCCAACCAACTGAGCCACCTGGCCAGGGCTAAAGAATATTTTAAAAGAGGGTGTTAAACATTGAACATTTAAATTATATAATTGGAAGAAAAATATTTTTATTCAAGGGAAGTCAGTAGCAAGCATGGGGAAATATTTAATCGTGCTAGTAATCTTAAATATACACCTAAAAGGTACTATTTTACTTGTTAAATTATCAGATGATATTTACTGTGAAATTGTAGAGGAACTTTACCTCATAGCATTGCTGGTAGTAGTATAAATTACAGTTCTTACTGGAAGTATAATTATAATAATGCACATACTTTTAGTAATTTCCTGCAGGAGATTTGTCCTAAAGAAGTTATGCAGCCTGGCTGGCATGGCTCAGCAGTTGAGCATCGACCTATGATCCAGCGGATCGAGATTTGATTCCCAGTCAGGACACATGCCCTGGTTGCAGGCTCAATCCCCAGTGGCGGGCGTGCAGAAGGCAGCCGATCACTGACTTTCTCATCATTGATATTTTCGTCTTTCTTGCTTTCCTTCTCCCTTCCTCTTTCTGAAATCAATAAAGATATATTTTTTAAAAAATGAAATAATACAAAGGAAGAAAACACTTTTTTTACATATTAAAGGTATTTATTATTTTACTATTTATGATATCAGAATATTGGGAAGAACCCTAAACAATCAACCAGGTAGAAGGCATTATTATAGCATTGTTTATTTAATATTATGCTCCCATTTGAATTGATAAATTAGATAATTGTATTCTTGTCAGAAAGTGCTTTTTGATATCTGTGAAAGGCTCTATGTATAAATTGTGTCCCTATTAAGTTTGCAACAACGATAAGAACATTGGCAAGAAAATGAGAACTTTTTTCTTAATGACTATTTGAGACTTACTAAATAGACAGTATATTTAAGTTCTACTTATAGACCATTTCAAAATACGTAAAATAAAAGGTTTCAGGTAAATCAAAAGTAGTTTCTCAAGGTAAAATGTTACCAAACATGCACCAGGGCCAAGATAAGTCCTGTTTAATTCTTATCTGTTTCACAAGTATTTGTTGAATTAGATTGTTTTTGTTCTGATTTAGCTGGGAACGCAGAGTTGACAACATGGGACGTATTTATTACGTTGACCATTTCACAAGAACAACAACATGGCAGAGGCCAACATTGGAATCGGTCCGGAACTATGAGCAGTGGCAGCTCCAACGTAGTCAGCTTCAAGGAGCAATGCAGCAGTTTAATCAGAGGTTCATTTATGGGGTGAGCAACCTGTTGCATTACAAACTTAACAAAAGTGTTTGGTTTTTAACCTTTTCCTGCATATGAAATGTAAACCACTAATTAGAATGAAGGTATAAGTGGGATGGCAACCCACTTGTTGCTGTTGATATTATTTTTAGACATTATCTTGACTATTCTGTGTATATGATCTGTCCTTTCCTCTTTGAAATTTACTAAAGCTCAACCTCCTTTACTTTGTTAATGTCAAAAATAAAAAAGATATTAGGATAACTTAAAAACCATGGACAAAAGAATAGTAAAAATAAATCCAAGCAATTTGAAAAGAATTACAGCTGTTCTGAATTTAGTACTGCCTAATTTATCAGAACGTTTGAAGACTTGGGTCTAAGAACACCTGAGTTTTGAGTGGTTATATAGAACTAATGATAGAATTGAATCACTTTGTAATGTATAAAAGGTAAAATATACCTCATAAATCATTTGGTGCTCTGGGAGACTACAGAAATTTTCTTTCCTTTTTTTTTTTTTTAATGCTTTTATTGATTTCAGAGAGAGGGAGGGAGAGGGAGAGAGAGATGAAAACATCAATGATGAGAGAGTCATTGATGGGCTGCCTCCTGTACGCCCCCCACTGGGGATCATGCCAGCTACCCAGGCATGTGCCCTGACTGGGAATCGAACCAAGATCAAGATCTCTTGGATCATATGTCCATGTTCAACTGCTGAGCCACACCGGCTGGGCCAGAAATTTGCTTTCTTATAGTGTTATGTTAAATGTTTCATTCTGGCCTCAAAATCAAATTATCTTTGGTATAAAAACATTTCCTTTTTTGAAATGGTTTAAATTTTACATATTTTTCTTTAGAGCAATATTGCAGCAATAGTGATATACACCAAAATGTATTAATAGCTTGTTATACAATCTTTGGTGCTAGGAATTTTACGGTCTCTCAAATCACATCTTTTCTCTGAGAAAAGGAAAGTAGTTCTTGGAGAAATTTAATTCTACGTGACAAACAGGAGGGATTTGTTTTGAGCAGTATATAGAACTTAAACAGAAGAAAGCTCTCCAGGAGTTCAAGAGAAGCTGACTCTCTTCACTGCCATCTCTTCCCCTCCATCACCATTGGTACAGTCCCTGTTAGAGTCCATCAGAATAAATGCACCTGTTTTCACGAGGCATTGTCTCGTTTTCTTTTCTCCATGTTCCTGTGTATTTCTTGGACCCCATCACCATAATAGGTATCACTCACTGACAAATTCACCTTTATCGTCATCCTTCCCTGGTTATGACTAAGATAACTTTTTTTATATTACAGTTTTTTCTGCCACCTTCTGTAGACAGCTATCACTATATTCCCTTTCCCAGTGGGGTTTTTTTCCCCCCCTTAATCTTCACCTGAGGATATTTTTTCCCATTGCTTTTCAGAGAGAGTGGGAGAGAGAGAGAGAGAGACAGACAGAGAGAGAGGGAGAGACACTTCGATTGGTTGCCTCTCGCACATGCTGGGGATGGAGCCTGCCACTGAGGTATGTGCCCTTGTCTGGAATCAAACCCGGGACCCTTCAGTCCACAGGCTGATGCTCTAACCATTGAGCCAAACCAGCTAGGGCCCTTTCACAGTGGTTTTAGAGGTGAAATCAATTTTTGTCTCTTATCTACCTTACCCTTTTTTTTCTATGCTGTTTTATATTTTCTTTTCTTTCTAAATTATAATCACCTTTGGTATGCCTGGACAAATTTCTAGGTTTGAATACCTAGGTTTCCTAGCTTCTTTAAGGCTAGTTTCCACGTGGGTGTCCAGTGGAAAGAGCATGGGCTTTGGAGTCAGACACATCTGGGTTCAAATCCTGGTTCCACAGTTACTTTCTCTATATGATTTTGAGTAAGTTACTTAACCTTATCAAGACTCATTATTTTATAAAATGCTACAATTACCTCAGAGGGTTTTCTTGAGGATTCTGTAAAATAAAGTTTCTCATATGTTTGGCACATTCTACATGCAGAGAAGTATTAGTTTTCATCTTTTCTCTCACATCCACAATTGTAAATGTGCCCTATATCTTACCTTTGCAATGCATAATCTTTTAAAACATTCTGTTAAAGGCAGATTAGCAAATTTATGGAGCATGTACAGAGTATTGTAAACCTGACAAGTTTGATACTCAAAGTCTTTAGAACTTTGCTTGAATTTAGCTTTTACCTCATTGTCCATGGTTTTGTTTGGTTTTTAGTTGCTATTTGTTTGTTCTGACTCCAGTTACAGGGCAGTAGACTCCCATATACCAACATTAAAAAAAATTTTTTTTTAATCCTCACCCGAGGATATTTTTTCCATTGCTTTTCAGAGAGAGTGGAAGCAAGAGAGGGAGAGAGAGAAACATCAGTGTGAGAAAGACACATCAATTGGTTGCCTCCTGCAGGCGCCCTGACCAGGGCTGGAGATTAAGCCTGCAACCGAGGTATGTGCCCTTGACTGGGATTGAACCTGAGACCCTTCCGTCTGTGGGCTAACGCTCCAGCCACTGAGGCAAACTGGCCAGGGCTGCACCAGCATTTTTAACCTCAGAATGTATATGGTTGATGAAGTAGTAACATTGTGTGATAGCTTTTCCTGGCCCATGGCTTCCCAGCTTATCTGTCCAGGGAGAGTCAGAAGGAGAGTCTTGTGTATTAGAAAATTATCGAAATAGTTTGTCATATGCCAAACTTTTCAGATCTGTTCTATAATGAGGCTCAGACCTTTTATAGTATTTCTTCCTGGCCTCCCTATTCTTACTCCTTTTCATAATCATATCTATCAAGACAAGCAAGGCCAGTTCCTGACAGGTCTGTCTTCCTAGAGCTGATAAGTCAGAAGTGGGCATCTTTCTCATAAGCTTCAAAACTTTCAATTAGTTAACTCAGTTTCTGCAATAAGTCAGTGGCATGGGGAAAAAACGAGAGTGTGGGGAACTACTATAGATGGGAGACTTAAGGAATCAGCCAAATGTAATGTGAGGACTTTGGATTCTGATGTAAACAAATAAGCAATCAGAGGCATTTAGGTAGGGGTTGAGTATTTTAAAATAAGATGATAACATTAACATTGATTGTTGCTAGGTGTGGTACTTGTAGTTATATAAGACTGTGTTCACATGTTTTTGAAAGGCATACTAAAATACAAAGGAGTGGAGCAATGACTAATTTTCTTCAGCAAAGAAGAAAAGAAATGTGGCAAAGTCTTGATAATTGTTGAATCGTGGTGCTGGATATATGGGCTGCAGTGTCCAATTTACTTGTTTATTTTTTTCTGTAATAATTTTTTTAAAAGGAGTTTATTATTTATTTGCCCTATTTTACTAAGGAGAAAGGGCTTAACCAAATCTTAGAGAGAGACCACAAGTTACCCCATNTTGCCCTATTTTACTAAGGAGAAAGGGCTTAACCAAATCTTAGAGAGAGAGAGACCACAAGTTACCCCACTTTATTACACGTTTAAACCAAACACATGCATTAACCCTGCACAGAGTAAGTATTGCATTTGCATCTCTTTGTCCAGTAGTTGACTTCTGCTTTTATCTAGCCACCACTTTTTCTCCAGCAGTGGGTTACTTGCAGACAGAAATTTAAGAATCTTTCATATAGGTCTAGGCTTACCAGCCCCTCTCCACTCTAGTTCTTTTCTCCTGTTCACTTGACAGCCTGTTCTTCCTGCTCCCCCAGCTCTCTTCCCACAGTTCCTTGTATATACTGTGCTCTGTATGTGCTCCTCTTTTTTTGATTTAGATACAGAAGGTTTTTCTCAGTTCTGATGACAGAGTACTGTTATTTATAAATGGCTGTTGGGGAGTTAAAGACGGGTGAGCAAACGTAGGTTTACAGTTTGTATGGGAAATAATACAATAATAAATAATAATACAGGAATAAACTCTGTTTCATTTACTCACAACTTTAATCCTATTTTGCCAGCCCTGTATTTTTGTAACTTACTGATTTGTAGTTAAAAAGGAAAAAAAGTGGTTATTTGGGGTGAGGATTATATATTTGTAATATTTGAATTTCAATGTTAAATAATGTTTGCACAGATTTTTTCTCCACCAGAATGTATTGGCATTTATCCATGACAGTGTGACACTTATCTAAGATGTGAACTCTCTAAGAGTGTGTTATGTTGCACATGGCCAGGAAAGACATATCAGAACTCATACACTTGCTCTCAGGTTGTCTAAGTTCAGTATTTCACCTTTTTTGTTGTTCTTTTTAGAATCAAGATTTGTTTGCTACATCACAAAACAAGGAATTTGACCCCCTTGGTCCCCTGCCACCTGGATGGGGTAAGTTACATAAATTTTTTCATTCAATTTGTTGATTTTTAAAATCAAATATTTATGGATGATGTCTTGCTCTTGCTTAAGTGAATACCTGGGAATATTTTGGAGTGTGTTGGTTTATTTTATTTTTAAATATATCTTTATTGATTTCAGGGAGAGGAAGGGAGAGAGAGAGATAGAAACATCAATGATGAGAGAGTCATCATTGATCGGCTGCCTCCTGCACGCCCCCAACTGGGGGCCGAGCCCTCAACCTGGCCATGTGCCCTGGCCAGTAATCAAACCATGATCTCCTGGATCCTAGGTCGATGCTCAGCCACTGAGCTATGCCTGGCCAGGCGGGGTATATTGGTTTAATTCAGTGTGCCAAATAGGCATTACATTTTCCAAAAGTTCTGAGTTGACCTTTTATTATAGTAAACATTTATTGGGATTTAGAATTATTTTTCTAAAGTTTAAAAATATTTTTGTTCAGCAATAAAAAGAAATGGATTATTCATACAGCAATCTGATGGGCATTCTGCTTAGTTTAAAAAGTCAATCTCAAAAGATTATATACTATATGATTCAGTTTATATAACATTCTCAAAATGACAAAACTGTAGAGATGGAAAACAGATTAATAGTTACTAGGAAACAGAGCTAAAGGTAGCTGAGTACAAATACAGGCAGTAACGTAAGCAGCTCTTATGTGGTGGTGGAAGAGTTCTCTGTTTTGACCGTGGTGGTGATTATACAGATCTGTACCTGGGATAAAAGTGCATAAAACTATACATTCACCTAAATGAATTCAGCTTTAAAAATTGGTGAAAACTGAATAAAATTTGTAGGTGACAGTAACTTACCAGTGTCAGTTTCCTGATTTTGATACTGTATTACAGCTATAAAAGATATCATCACCATTGTGGGAAACTGGTTGAAGGGTACATGAAATTTCTTTGAATGACTTTGCCACATCTTGTGAATAATAATTATTTCAAAAAAAAAAAACTTAAAAAGTATTTTGATCACATTGGTGCTTCCAATACACAGTTCAGAGTGTGGCTGAGTTGATGTTACCTGAAAGAACAGTGGAAGGGGCACATGGAAGGATGGTGACTGTGTGTGCTATACCATGGAGCACATTAGCAGGCTCTGTTATTGAGTGCACTTGGTACTTAATTATTAAAACTTTGTTAATACACCAGATTCTGTTTTATAGTGTTATATGTCATAGCAATGTAGCAAGTTTCTGGAATATACTATATGACAGTATAGGAACAATTTTTCATGGAAGCCAAAGGGAATATAGAAAGTGGAAAACAGAAAAGTAAAGCCTGTTATGGAAACAGAGCTGTAGATATTTCGTAATATTGGAATAAATTCAGAAAGTGATATTTCTAAATAGTCTTGTTGGGAAGCATTGGTCCCTAAGATAGATTGCTTTAGCATTACTTTACTGAGGAATAGAGGGGGAAAATTGATGTGTCAAGATCACATGAATCTGGGCAATAAATGATACTGGCTCTATAAGCCTGCCTCAGAAACCCCATTGCTCTTAAGAGGTTATTTATCCTTAACACTCTTGTGAGTAAAAAATATAATAGGTCATACTTATAACTGTTATTGTTACCAGCTTGAAACAAAAGGAGGGCATGTGAAAGTAGTAAATTTCTGTCTTCACCAAAGCCTAGCAGTTTAGTAAGGAGTCTTTTGGCTCTGTTGGAGCCTCAGAGTGGACAGTGCATGGTTAATACAAAGTCACTTTAGAGGAGGGGATGCTGGCCTTATGAGGCATATTGAACCAAACCTGTCAGACTGCATTCCAGGACATGGATGGATTTCTCAGCTTTATTTCTTGAGTTGTTTGTGCTGCATTACAGAAAAGAAATAGATGTACCAAAAGGATATATGTGAAGGTCATCTATTTGTCCTTTTAATTTTATTGCAGAAAAACTGTGATTCTGTGGCTTTTGTCAGAAACACAGAAAGTTTTACTCCTCCAGAGTAGCCATTAAGAAAAATGGGCTCTTGCTTATAGGAGCATGAGCTGCAGCCTGTTGTCTTTATTCTGAAAGCTTTTCCTGCCAGCCAGTCCTCGCCTTCTGTATTTACCATTATCCTCATCAGCAGGTCTTCCTCAGATTTACTTTAGCCAACATCTCCCTAAAATACTTCCTGTAAACACGCAGTCCCAGCTTATCTGGGTGATGAGAATGTTACCTTGCTTATTTTACATACATTCTGCTTGTTTTTAGGTGTCACACTCCTGAAGTTGAACTGTACCCCCTTCCTAAATGAGTTCATGACCATCCTATTACTCAGACTGAGCATTGCTTTTCACTGTCTGCCTTTGGGGCATGTGCCTTATTTGTGGAACCATTGACAGTACTGGTACTGTGACAGATGACATACCCTCAGGATTGACCCAGGAAATAAAATCCCAGTTTATATTCTATGGTTACATTATGGAATTGACAGCATTATTTTCGTGACAACATATATACTTAAATCCAATTTCCTCACCTTTTCAGACTTCTATATGCTAGTGCTAGACATTACTATCTTGAAGTAAAGAATTATTTAATACATGGATATTATGGAGGCTGGCTAACAAAATATTTTTAGTTCAAAATGTTTTCTAATAGGCCTTTGTATAGCTGGGTTTACCATTCAGGTGTAAAGATATTTCTTCATTTTCAGAGTTGCTCTGAAAGAATCCATAGAACAAGAAGCATCTTCTCCTTTTTACTGTTTTATCCACCAGGTCAGGAAGTGCTCTGATGTGCATTCAGGTTTGATGTTCAGTAATTTCAGTATTGTTTATCATGTGATTTTTGTAACAAAGAAATCAGTTCTACAGCCACAGTTCTTCCTCTCATTGAGCAGATGATCCTTCAATTTGCAGGTGCATCCACCTTTGAAATTTTGTTTTTCACAGCCTCTTCCAAGATATGCTGATATCAGCAGTATATACTTAGAACATAATAATAAATAAGTTTCCTATTAACTTTATCTTGCCTCATGTTAGCTTTTGATGAGAAAATCTTTGGCCCTGAAATCTGAACTTGCATGGCAGATAAAAGATGAATACGTGCTTAGCTATGCACTTAGTGTCTTATTTTTAGATGATAAAAATTACTCTGCAAAATTCTTTGGAATCAAATTTATAGATTCTGAAAATACATTTTAAAAATTTAAATTTAATGTGACTGCCCGGCCAGGTGTGGCTCACCAGTTGAGCATCGACCTAGGATCTAGGAGATTGCGGATCCATTCCCAGTCAGGGCACATGCCCGGGTTGCGGGCTCCATCTCCAGTCGGGGGCGTGCAGGAAGCAGCCGATCAATGATTCTCTCATCATTGATGTTTATATCTCTCTCTCTCCCCCTCTCCCTTCCTCTTTCTAAAATCAATAAAGATATATTTAAAAATAAATATTTAATGTGACTGCCAAGAACATGAACTTATTTTGTTGTCATGTAGCACTGTAGGTGCTTCTTTTTGCCTCAGAATCAACCTTAAAGTTGATTATCCTTAAAGTTGGTTACATGTTTCCACACTCAAGATACTGTGGTCAGCGAAGCCAGTGTTAATATTCAGTGTGTCAAAGATGAAGGGTACCATTTTTATGTATATCATGCACACCCAGAGTTCTGTTTCTATTTTAGTCTCAGCTGATATGCCTATCCAGAGTGGGTTCATGATACTCACAAATTACACACCTTCTGAACCCCTATATCATCACTGCTACATGAAATCATGGAAACAGTGCTGGGGATATTGTTAAAAGTTAACAAATATTAATTTGACAAGGCTATATAACTTTTCCTAAGACTCATCTTGCAATATCTTGCTTAAAGAAAGATCTAAAGGCTCTAAATAAAATTTACTTTAAAAATAGATACAACTTTTCAAACCACGGGACATAAAAATTGGCTTTATTATCATGAAATTAAGTTTAAAAGTTTGTTTGAATGTTGCTAATTTTTAGAAACTGCTTTTTAAAAAAGTTGGAGTATATTCTGTACTCTAATACTTCAGTTATTTATTTTGAGACATGTTGGCCAAATTAAAAAAATTCAGATACAGGAAGAGACTATCTATTGAAGAATTACTTGGTAATGGAGCAGAGAAGTCAATAGTTCAGAACAATATTAATATTAAGGTTTTAAAATTATGTGGTTATTAAATGAGGAAATGACTCCACTTGTCTTCTGGACCTTAATGACAGAGCTCAGGGAAGCAGGGAAACTTTTATAGAAAAGGAGCAGGAAACCAAGGAGACTCCAGAAGCAAGAGCCGAGGGGAGCAGGACAAGCACAGCTGCAGGTGCAGGGAATCGGAGCTGAGCCCTGTGCAGGACTTTACAATAGATATTTAGGGTGTGAGAGCTGGGTATGTTAAGGAATAGGACATATGTTGAAACAGTGTGTTTCCTAGATGAATAATGCCAAGCATGTAACAAACAATTAGGTTATATTACCCCCATTATATTTTTAGAAATGAGATGGTGTGGTATGAAAAAAATGCCTGAATGAAGTCTTAAGTTTCCATTGCGTCACTGCCACTTAATTCTGAGATTTTGGGCAGATCACTTAACCTGTCTGAGTTTCTTTCAAGATAAACTAAAACCACTTACCCCATGGGACTGCTAAGGATAAATGAAGCCATCTATGAAAAGTTAAAATGATTAATTAATTGTGCTGCGGTCAGTTGGATTGAGCAGAAAAGTTCTGTGAGCAGGACATTTTGAATTAAGTCTGTTTAGTTTCTAGGATGTAGTTATATTTTTATAACTTTAGTAGTATGTGACTTAAAAACTACAAAATCAGCACAATGAGAAATGGGCAAATTCAGCTCATCTTATTATTTTAGTGTGAGGAAGAAGACTGTGCCAGCTCTAATGCTTTGCTTTGTCTTTGTGTTTTTTTTGTTTGTTTTTTTGTTTACATTTAAGAGAAGAGAACGGACGGCAATGGTAGAGTATATTTTGTCAACCACAACACTCGTATTACACAGTGGGAAGACCCCAGAAGTCAAGGGTAAGAACTTTCAGTTACTAATTTATAGATAACCTCTTAAATTTGTACCGTGTCTGATTCAGTTATGAAAAAGATCAGTTACATAGTCTTTCACCCACATACCTTATAAAGAGAAAAAATTATACTATTTCATATAATGGATGTGGATTTCTTGAGAGTATAGGGGGGAAAAACTCCCTGGTTTATGCCAATACACTTAAATATTCAAAAATACCTACTTATTATTAATAAGACCAGATAAGTAATTCTAAAGCAGAGTTTTGCAACCTGGGATCAACTGGATAAAATTCAGGGAGTATGTGACTTAGAGAAAAATTAAACATTCGGTTTCATCAACCTGTTTCCTTCCATTGTGATTGTAAGCTACAACCATAGAATTAGCAATGTTTAGGACTTTGCCACCAGTAGAGATCACAGGTTTTTTATATTATTCTTCAGTTGTTGCAGATATATCAAAATATTGTTTACATACATCATTGCAAGAACTAGCTAGTTAATAGAGTCACATTGTTATAAAGTTGTCTTTTTAATATTTTGATAACTATGTATATATGATTGCTTTTCTTTGTAACATTATGTAATGGTGTGTAACATTCATTTGCTAGGGCTGCCTTAACAAAGTACCTGTGGCTTAAACAACGAGATTTGTTTCATAGTTGAGGAAGCTACAAGACCAAGGTGTTTGGAGGGCTATGCTTCTGAAGGCAGTAGGGAAGGACTGAGTCCAGGCTTCTCTCCTAGCTTTTCGTGGTTCCTTGGCTTGTGGCAGCATAACTCCAGTCTTAAAATGGCACTCGTTCTGTGTGTGTGTCCAAATTTTATACCAGTCATAATGGATTAGTGGCCCACCATTTTCATCTTAATTAATCACATCTTCAATGACCCCTATTTCCAAATGAGGTCATACTCTGAGGTACTGAGATTTAGGACTTTAACATGAATTTGCAGGGGGTACACAATTCAGCTCATAACAATAGGTAATACTATGCACTTATCCGACTGCCAGAAGGATTCAGTTCTGCAAGAAATTTGGCAAGGTATATAGTCAGAGAGCACACCCTCTACACAATTGCCCTCACTTTAGACAGCCATAAGCTGGGACCAACTGGCTACAAATTTGGGTGTCCCCACAACCACTTTCAGGTTTGATAACTCACTAGAGAGACTAGAACTCACTGAAGCCTTTTGTACTCAGTCACATTTATTACAGGGAAAGGATACAAATTAGACCCAACAGAAGAAAGGGATGAAAAGGGCAGAGTCTAAGAGAGTTCCAGACACCCACAATTAACGTGGAACAGTATGTGTGGAATGTTGCTAACCATGGAATCTCACCTGAGTCTCTGGTATCCAGAGTTTTTACTAAGGCTCCCATCGTGTACTGCCTATGTGGCTAACCTTTAGTCTCCAGCCCTTCTTCAGAGTTTGGGTTAATACCTTCAGTTTTCAGTTACGCCAGAGGTCAGAACCGATGTGGAATATCCCAAAGTCTCAATCATAAAACACATTGTTGACTGTCTGATGTTCAAAGCCTCCAAGCAAACAAAGATACTTCTGACAGGCAAGACATTGCAGAGGCCTAGAGATTAACTCTCAGTAGTCGAGGGCAAAGGCCAGACCTCTGTTTAGGTATGATTAATTCTTCACTTATCATGTTCATGGCTCAAAGTTTTAAGAACTGCTGTTCAAAAGGGATGCTTTAAATTTAAAATCTATTTCTGGGTACCAACAAATCACATTTTTTTATGGAGTTACGGTATTTAACTTAAATATTTTTAATTTTCCAAAAAGGAAGAATTAAGAATTTCAAAAGTAACATTTCTAATTCCTCTTTAAAATTCTGCCTCTAAGGGTAGAATACACCGTGTCACCTTACTGTGATTGCTACATTTTTTGTTCCCCCTTGTTCCTTTAAAGTTTCAGAACTAAAGTTAGCATCCTATTTTAAAACAAATGACCCAGCTGGGCCGGGTGTGGCTCAGCGGTTGAGCGTGGACCTAGGATCCAGGAGATCGAGGTTTGATTGCCGGTCTGGGCACATGCCCGGGTTGAGGGCTCAATCCCCAATGACTCATCATGGGTGTTTCTCTCTCTCTCTCCCTCTCCTTTCCTCTCTCTGAAATGAATAAAGATATTTTTTTTAAAAAAATGACCCAGTTCTATCCAATTTGTTTGTTTTTAAGATAACAACTAAGTCTGTTTTGCAAATATAATTACAACACATGAGAAGTGTTACCTTTTTTAAAATTTTGGTAGTCTTTTTTATCTGACATTGTGTCCTTAGTTCTGTGAATACAGCTAAATGTCCTGATCCTCTTGACATAGTTTACAAAATACTGTTCTATGTAATGGTTCTCAGCCTTTTGTGCTTCTAAAGTACACTTGAGGAAAATGACATTCCTGTGCGCAGCAGTGGCTCTGTAAAACATGAGCTTGTGCCTCCAACTCCTCCCTGTCTTCCTTTCTGATGGGAACTGGAACATTTCCAATGTTCTGTCTTTCACCAAACCCACCAGATGGAAAAATTGAAGATATAGAATAGAGGGGAAAAACCTGGCAAATATGAATAAAACTTGGGACACTTACTACACCCAAATAGCTAAGAAGACAGGCTGCTGTTACGCAGAGTGCACAGGCACAAGTGGCGGAGGAGGCACTCAGTGATTCCTGCTCGTCCTCGTGTCATGTTTAAATGTAAAGATAAGTTTCTTAGATTCAGGACTATGCAGTTTTGAATATTTATACTAATGCCTCAATTATTTTAATATATAACAAATGAAAATCAAGTCACTATTTCCTTATAATCTAGCTCCTATTTTAAAACTCATGTAATATTTTCAGGGAGGGAAGTTGTGCCAGACAACACAAACTGAAATACTTGATAAGTGCTGTGCTAGCAGTATGAAGGAAGTACTTCAGAGACCTGAAGAGAACGATCAGTATATAGTAGGAGGAATAATAATAGTTTGAGGGATCATTATGTGCTCATTATAAGCTCATTATTAAGCTTTTTACTTGTATTATCTAATTGATTTCTCATATATTCGTCTTATACAGACATTGTTATCTCTGTCTTTATGGACAAAGAAACTAAAATTCAGAGAGATTAAGTAAGGTCTAAAGATGGATATTAAGTGGATAGGAATACTTCATAAAAGACACTTGAGCTGCCTTACCAGGAATAATAGAGATTCTGGACAAGAGGAAAGGTTTCCCTTGGAGGTGTGACAGATTGTGTCCTGTTTAGGGAATTGGTGATACCATTATTAAACACTATGAAATCACAGAGTTCAGAGAAGGGATTTGAGGGCAGAGTGAGTGAGTACGAGATGTAATAGTTTAGATCTTTTCTCTTTTTTTAAATANTCACAGAGTTCAGAGAAGGGATTTGAGGGCAGAGTGAGTGAGTACGAGATGTAATAGTTTAGATCTTTTCTTTTTTTTAAAATATATCTTTATTGATTTCAGAAAGAGGCAAGGAGAGGGATAGAAAGATAGACACATCAATGATGAGAGAGTCATTGATCGGCTGCCTCCTGCACTCCCCCACTGGGGATCGAGCCCTCAACCCAGGCATGTGCCCTGACCGGGAATCGAACCTTGATTGCCTGGATCCTAGGTCGATGCTCAACCACTGAGCCATGCCCAGCTGGGCTAGATAGTTTTTTTTATTCCCCCAAGAATGGCAGACTCCACATGCAGCGCCTCATTTGGATATGTCTGGAGTCTCAGAAGCTTGACTACTCTACATTCTCCTACAAGTGGACCATGAGAGCTTGTATGGAGCTTCTAGCAGGGGAGCGCAGTTACTCTTACTCAGTATACCCTTAACCAAAGAACGATCCTCTCCTCTATTGGGGAAAGTCATGCAGCTTCTGGAGGGATGCACATGAAGTGGGGAGGGAGGAAGGGGACACCCGCTAGCCAGCCAGATCAGTCGATTCAATCCTGGCTATCAGTGGGGTGACAGATGTCACAGCCAGATCGCCCTCACATCCAGCTTAGATTTTATTATTGGTAGTGGTGAACAGTGATAGCACCTTAAGGAGAGAACTGATTTGATCAGATCTCTGTTTAGTACTCTGTCAGCAATGTGAAATAAATGAGTGTAGGACCAGAGTGAGACCAGAGGCAGGAAAAACCCAGTTAGGTGGCTGTTGTGAAAGTTTAGGAGAAAGGAATAAAGCCAGCATAAGGATGGTGCTGGAGATTGAAAATACTGGTGAACATGAAGACTTCTAAGGCAGAATGGTCAGAACTTGGTTACCGTTGGGGTGTTTAGGTGGGTTATTAGGTAGCTGGGGATGGGCCTGTTGACACATTAACATGCTTATGGGATAAAGAGGGTATATCTAAGAGATCTAGTAAACAACTGGATATACTGGACTAAATGGTTTTCTAGAAGATTCCTAGTGCATTTATGTGTGGTTTTAGTTTCTGCGTTTGGCAAACAATCATCTCTTTAACATTTTTTGTTTATATATTTTTCTATGTTCTTTAGTCAGTTAAATGAAAAGCCCTTACCTGAAGGCTGGGAAATGAGATTCACAGTTGATGGAATTCCATATTTTGTGGACCACAATAGAAGAACCACCACCTATATAGATCCCCGCACTGGAAAATCTGCCCTGTAAGTTTTCTAAACATTGTAGATTAAAAGAAAAACTGATTCCAAGATTTTGATGTAAAGGATCTGAATTAGCAAGAAGTATAGTTGTTGCTGTTTCATGAGTTGGCCTGCCCATAGATTTCTGTTCACTAAATATTTTGTATTTCCATTACTCTCTTGAATATTTTCTCCTATAGACTTTTCATATTTGTTACCATCTTTGCACACAGCACTAAATGGGACTATTCAGAAATTATCAGTACAGTACTACTCACTAATTAATCTCTGATTTCTGATGCTGTCATAATTACACTGTAGGCTGGAATAAAAAGAACAAATTGAAAAGAGAAAAAAATCTTTTTCCAGCTCTCTTTAAAAGAGCCTTTCTCGAAGTCCTATACAACAGTTCCACTTATAACTCATTAAGTCTCACAGCCACACTGGGAAATGTAATCTTTATCCTAGGTAGCAGTCTGCCCAGGTAAATATCAAGAGTCTGATTTAAGGACAAAGGAGAGAATGGATTTGGGGGATAGACAACATTCTCAGATAGCACCTACTTTATAGTCCTGTTAGATTTGGCTGTATATAAGAGAAAATGTCACAACACTGGCTTTAAAAAGATGAAAATTTATTTCTGTCTTTTACTTAAAAATAATCCTGGGAAATAAACATTTTAAAAGGCAGTGGTAGGATTATGCTATCTACTAGGGTGTTTTCATATTTGACTGCTGAGTTTGGAGGGAGTATGGTATTTTGCTTTCCTTCAAAATTTTATCTTACAGCTATATATGTCATATTTCCATTCTTCCTCAGAGACAATGGACCCCAGATAGCCTATGTACGGGACTTTAAGGCAAAGTTTCAGTATTTCCGGTTCTGGTGTCAGGTTAGTATTGGGATATATTTCTGTACTCCCTTTCTTTTGTTTATTTTGCTTGTATTACACAGTCAGTGATTATGAAAATAATTAACTTATAGAAAAAGAGGTAAAATGTGAAGCTTCGGAATCTCTCCTATTTTTAAGGCAAGGAAATAGATTGATCAGTTATATAATTTGTAGCTTCTTTTGTCCACAATAATAAATTTGAAACCATTCAAATAAGAAAACAATGCTTCTCTCTTTCCAGTAACCATTATGTTCAGGTTGCAGAAATCCTCAAATGAGTTAAAACATTTTCTGATGTATAAATTATAACTAGCCCCTTTCATAGCTAGCATTTGCTTGATACATACATACAGGGTGTCCCCCAAAAATGTATGTGCACTTAGAATGATTATGAAGTCAGAGTTTATTAAAATACAGTTTGTTTCAAAATTTAAAAGAATCTACAGAAATGGATAAATTTTTTGTCAATGCCTGTTTTCAAACTGGTGACCATTCTGGTCCAGGCACTGCTAATAACATGAAGCAATGGAATTGCAAACTTCAAGAATTATTTCATTCGGTATTTGTGTGCCCTCAATTCATCGACTGTTGCCAGTTTTGTACCTGTAAACTTTATCTTTTATGTACCCCATAAAAAAAAGTCTAGTGGCACTTTAGGATAAATTTTCTTTATTCAAAGCTTAGTCTGGCTTTACCCATTATTTCAAATCAGTTAAACCTGAAAAGGAGTGAAAATTAAGTGAGTTATCAGCTGTTAAAGTGTATATACATTTTTGGGGGGCACCCCTATATATATGTATCACTTTGATAGATACATATATGTGGTTATATTCACACTATTTTCTCAGATGTGACCAAGTATTTCTGATGTATAAATAAATATTTACTGAATTAATGATTTCATTATGGGTTCTAAATAAAATTAATGTACTATTTAAAATATTACTTTAATGAATATTTTTTAACTTCAAACTTGTAATTAACTGGGCAAGCAAGAAGAATCTGAATTGCTTTTTGAAAATAAAATTGAAGATTTATTTGACTTAGTAAGTAAGCTTGGTGCATATGAGATCTTGTTTTCCTGTGTTTTATATATCAGTGTCTATAATTAGCATGAAGGCTCACAAATGCATAGTCATTCTTAAATATACAGTCATATTCAGAGTCTACTTGTTTCTGTAAGCAAAGATAAAAGTAAATAAAATGTTACCCTTTTGGTTTTTTGATAGATCATTTTAAATGGTGAGAGTTGACTTAAGTCATTTTTATATTTCAGCAACTGGCCATGCCACAGCACATAAAGATTACAGTGACAAGAAAAACATTGTTTGAAGATTCCTTTCAGCAGGTACTGTTTGCCTCCTGGGTGCCAGCCGCAAACCATCTTTTGGTGTTGGCAGATTGAACAGTTTGGAACTTTTTGAGTTGGAGTCCTTGAATTTTTAAGTCTAATCTCATTGCCAGCTACTGTAGTACTGAAAATTTAGGAACATACAGATAGTTTTGTGTGTGTATTTTGTGTATGTGTGTATTTTGTGCTTTTGAAATGTCAGAGTAACTTAAAGTGATTAGTGAGTTTCTGGTTTCTATTTCTAAACTAAGTGTTTGATTTAAAATAGACTCTTAAGTAAGAAAATAGGCTTTTGGTAGACAAAAGTCTGGAAATATCCATATGAACATTATTGGATAGGTAGGAAAGGAGTGGGGAAGACTTTATAACTTTTTTAGTTCTGTAATACTTACATTTTTACAATAAGCATGGTACTCTTGTAATTACAATATTTTTATGTAGGAAAGAAAGTGGTCATTAGTTCCAATTCCTAAAGAAGTCAACAGATTTTTTTAGTTGTCCTCAGAACCAGAGTTAATTTATTACTTACCTTTATTTTGCAACTTTATTTATTAACCAAATGCAACTAAATGTTAAGTGATTTTGTTGTAGAGAAGATTAAATGACCAGTGGAAAAATGTCTTAATATGAAAATATCCAGTTAGTCCTTGTTTTATGGCCAGATGTGGATGTGATTCTTTATTATCAGGCCCCTGTGATAATTGTGATAGCTACAGCTTCAAGAAGTGTCACACTGAATACAAAGGAAAAGAGATTGTCTGAGATAGTTGACAGTAGCTGGCTTCCTTTCAGAAACAGTTATGTTGATTTCCTAATGGAACCTCAGCTATTAACATTGAAAGGGGAGAGCCAGTTGGCATCCTGCTAGGAAGGAGCAGATAGCTTTTTAGCAGCAGAGCCTTGACTAAGGCTATTTAGAGAATTATGAGTCATTCCCTTGATCTGATGTGAGTCTCCAACACCATTCACTACTCCAGTCATTACCTTTTTCTAATTTCCATATTCATAGCCACTGTGTAGTCACTGAGTATGCAGTCTTGGGTGGGCCAGTTTCTTGGAACATAATTTGCCTATGGCAGTGCTGAAAAGATGCAAAACATGATTAAATGTCTCTATCTTTTGGCTTCTGAAACCAGAGGCTTTTGCAGAATGACAGACCAGATGGTGCTAAAACAATTGTTTAAAATTGTCATCTTATATTTGACATTTATAGAATTAAATGTGAAATTAAAACTTGAGAAAAATTTGATTGCTTTGGAAGTGACAAATCTGATAGCAAAACTAGCATCAGATTTTTTTCATAACTGTTGGATAAAGCTGTTTTGGGTAGTAAGTGTTTTTAGTAACATAGCACAAATGCTCATGAGGGAAAGTGCAGGATAAAAATGTTTTTCCTTCATATTAGGCATTTGTTAAAGGATAATATTTAAAGATATTTTGTCCAGGGAATAGTAAATCCCCAGATATCAGACACACGGCAAAGGAACAACCAGAATTTCCAGGAGAATAGTCTCAGGTTTGGGGGAAAAGTCTCAAGAGAGATCAGGGATAGCCCTAGGGTTTGGGGAGCAGCCATGAGGACAATTTTTAACCTCTTTGTTTTGTATTGCTATCTATATAGCCTGTAGTATACTTAACAGAATTTTTGTCATAAACATGTCATAAGCATTGAATTTTTTGTTACATCTGGGATTTTCTTGTTTGAGCAGAATACGAACTCATAAAAGTGATATATCTGTTTTGTGGGAAGCCCTGGCATAAGAAACGGAGTTTCTCCGAATATTTAAATGTGAAAGTTCATTTATATTTCATAAAATGGAGGCGTTGTATCAACTTCTCTCTCTCTAGGCCCTGTCATTTTCTTCTAAGAGTAATTAATATTTGTAATGTTCTACAGGCCCAATTCTTGGCAGGTATTTAAATAGTTTTACAAAGAAAGAACCCAAATTACCTATTTATTGTAGATCAATAATGGTACTGTCCTTCAAAGATGAAGATTGAAAGGTTAACATGTTGGTACACGGGCAGGCTAAATAGCCATCTCAAATGAGTGAATAAAGAAAAATTAAAGTTATTAAAAGGGGATGGGGATATCCAAAGGGAAGGGCTACACAGCACTGAGCCAAAGGGTATTGGGTCCATGATGGCAGCAAAATATACTTGGGACAGTGAAGCAAGGAAAGAGCACAGAAGAGGCAACAGGAGAGCCTGGGCTGGGCTGCTCTGGCTCACTGAGGTGTCAGAGAGAGAAGGCGCCTTGGAGACAGGACCANAGAGGCAACAGGAGAGCCTGGGCTGGGCTGCTCTGGCTCACTGAGGTGTCAGAGAGAGAAGGCGCCTTGGAGACAGGATCAGGNCCTGGGCTGGGCTGCTCTGGCTCACTGAGGTGTCAGAGAGAGAAGGCGCCTTGGAGACAGGACCAGGATAAGCCCTGGACGAGCTGCCGCTGCCCATTGCTCCCCCAGTTGGAAGTCTTGTGGGGTTCCCTCAGAGGGATGGAATTGGCGCTGACCCCCTGGTGGGGAGCACGCTGGGTCCTTTGTCCTGAGTGTATTTCTTTCTTTCTTGCAGGCGGGAATCTTAGGGGAGGTCTCGGGAGGATCTCAATAGAATATTCATCAGCTTTCCAGGTGTGCTCTTTCAGGGTCATGGTCTCCACTGATTGGTTGGTGCCAGGGCAGGGGTTCATTATTCAGTGTATCTGGTCCAGAGGCAGCCAGGGTGCCACTTGTCTGGTATCACTGCTTATCTGGGCTGGAGCTGAAATACAACTGAGGCCCAGATGTTATCTTTAAGGAGGACTGCTCAGGGATATGCTAGGGGAAGATAGGTTACCGTGGGGACAAAGTTCTTGTTTTCCCAGTTTCCCCCCTTGCTAGGCATCTGGGGCTTCCTGCCCTGGTGAGTTTTTGTACCCTACTGTATCTAGGTTTCTGTACCTGGCCCATCTAACAAAGATGATCTTATTAACTACTGTAGTGGGACACAAAATTGAATAGTTTTTCTATGTATTTATAAGTTTCTACTAAGAACGAGTTTCCAAAGTTAACTATATTCTCTCTGCAGCCATTTGTTTTCATTTCCAAGTTGGCCAAGTAGCAAACATGTGCCTTTTGGCTGTTAAACCCAAACTTACCAAAACAGAACCAAAAGCACCAAACCTCTGACCATATCCACAGTTACTGCTCTAAGCAAGTGAGAGATACAACTTTATAAGTGAATAGCAGGATCATTTAAAAGAAAATTAGTCCAGCCAGTGTTGCTCAGTGGTTGTTGAGCATCAGCCTATGAACCAGGAGGTCACGGTTTGATTCCCAGTCAGGGCACATGCCCCGGTTTCAGGCTTGATCCCCAATAGGGGGCATAGAGGAGGCAGCCGATCAATGACTCTCCCATTCACTGATGTTTCTCTCTCCCGCTCCCTTCCTCTCTCTGAAATCAATAAAAACACATTTAAATAAAGGAAAGAAAATTAATATGTACAACATGTATAAATATATAGATATCTATAATATATAAAATACTATGAAACATTAATATATTTTCTGTGTGTGTGTGGTGTTGATTAGACCACAAACACAATTCTATGTCAAGGGGAATTTAAGTTACCTATATAATGGAGATTTCAAACCTGGAAGTGGTAGAATAGTATTTCAACAACTGCTTTTACCAATTCTTTTACTTTATTGTTTTGTAGATAATGAGCTTCAGTCCCCAAGATCTGCGAAGACGCTTGTGGGTGATTTTTCCAGGAGAAGAAGGTTTAGATTATGGAGGTGTAGCAAGGTAGTGATAATATGAATACTCAGAACTTAGTTCCTTTCCTCCAAAGGTATCATTACGCTTTGCTTGCAAGTATTATTTTCTCAATCTTATATTTCAGGAAAATGAAATGTAGGAAATTATTATACCTTTATTATGCTGCAGCTATAGAATTTCAACATTAATTCAGAAGGTAACTCCAAGGTACTGCCAGTTGGTTTCACCCACATCACTCATTTAATCCTCAGAATAACCCTGTGAGATAGAATTTTACAGGTAATAATGAAGTTTAGAGAGTCACCTAATGCACATAACTAAGTTATAGAGCCTGGATGCAAGAGCCAGTGTTTCATCTACCACCTCACGTCTGTTTCACAGAGCATACCAGGCCCTGTAGTGATCAGGTCATTTTCCCCATCACAGATTACCAATACAGATAATAGTCACTCCATTCCCAATTGAGATTAATATATCTGTTTTGAGAATAGAAGGCTGTATAAAATAGGAGTCGAAATCTTTAAATCTGTTTTCTTAATAGTGGAACTTCCAGTCAAATCCTGGGAGGGAGACTGAAATAAGACATCGCTTTGCTTACTCTATAACAGCGTGTCTATCAGGTTGCACATTTGCATAGCAGTGACACTGTGGAAGGCAAGGACTGTGGAGTCAGGATGGTTTGAACCCTTTTCCTGCACTCACTGGCACGACCTGGGGCAAAATCTTTATCTCTAAAATGACCTAGCATGCTCGCTAACTGGTGGCTGCAGTTTAGTAGTTTTTTACTTATCACACTTCAAAGTGTATGAAGTACTCACAGGTAAATAATAAATATGAACAGAAACATTTAATTTTGTACAGGTTAAAGATAATTTAGGAGGAGAGCAATTATTCTTAATTAGAAAATGAATTAGCATTTAAGTATTAGCAGTATTACTACCAGAGGCCATGAAACTAACAGGAAAATAAATCTTAAACACAAGATTATATATCACACGTATTGCCCCAGGTCTGCTCTGCCTAATGTTCTACCACACCTACCTGTGCTACATAATTAGTACGTATAATCTTACATTAATATTGGTTGGCATTTTCACAGCATTTGAATTGGAATATCTCAGAGCATTTTTCTGATGAATGAATGCTTGAATTAAGTGTTTTATTGCCTCTGAAATTGGATTGTTTTTCATATTTGTCTAGGATTTAGAGAGCAGTGGTACTTGATGGAGATCACTGTGGGACTTAGAAATAAATGGAATAATATTAGACTTGCTTCAGCTGCTTTACCCACATGGGTCAATTAGTGAAGTTTAAACTTGATTATGTATAGTATTTTATTGATTGTGAGACTAACATTTTTATATTTTAACATCTCTGAAATTGGGATGTATATCACAATTATAACTGGAGAAAGTTTTAGTGGTTGTCTTTAAAGTTGATGGTGTCTTGGATTCTTTGAAATATAATAATAAGCAGTGTGTAAATCACCTCTGTAAAATGGATGTCAGTTTAGACAGAAGCAGTAAAATCAACATGGTAGATTAGGAAACTATCACCAGCTGAGAAGTATAGATTTCTAACTCTGTAGCACTACCCTTTGATTTGTTGGCATGGTTACTTACATGACATTTCACCCAAAATTCTCTTCTTATTTCAGGGAATGGTTCTTTCTTTTGTCACATGAGGTGCTGAACCCAATGTATTGCCTGTTTGAATACGCAGGGAAGGATAACTACTGCTTACAGATAAACCCCGCCTCTTACATCAATCCAGATCACCTGAAATATTTCCGATTTATTGGCAGGTTTATTGCCATGGTAAGTACAGGTAGAGAACTGTGTTTACTTTGCTAATTCAGCAGTGCTAAAGCATTGTTTTTTTTACTTTCTCATTTGAAATTTTCTCATCACTAAGACATTTCTAAGATTGGCTTTGTTATATTTGCCCTTTTTCTAGAAATGTGCCATAAGAAATCATATAACAGGGGAGCCCTTTTTAAACGAAGAATTCGTGTAACATTCTGAAATACAATGAATATCATAAAATTACCTTAAATGGTATTGTTTGTTTCTTGCATAGGCTCTGTTCCATGGGAAATTCATAGACACAGGCTTTTCTTTGCCATTCTACAAGCGTATCTTGAACAAACCAGTTGGACTCAAGGATTTAGAATCTATTGATCCAGAATTTTACAATTCTCTCATCTGGGTTAAGTAAGTTTGTTTCCATTTATTTTATCAAAATATAGTCTGTATGCTTTCATTATGTTGATTTCTAAATTTTAAGCATGTAACTGGTTTATTGAATTTAAATGGTGCACATTAAATCTGTCTCATTATTTAATACGATAAATTTTACAGAAATACACCCAAGATCTTTGGCAACAATACGATAACTTTAGAGTATAATTTTTTAGTTTTCTTGTTATTTTGATGTTATAGTTTAATAATAATTATTTAAGGCTATAGTCCTTTAGTTAAAAACTTTTTATATGTTTGAATTAGTGTAACAAATAATGTTAATTTCATTTGTACAGAGAAAACAATATTGAGGAATGCGGTTTGGAAATGTACTTCTCCGTCGATAAAGAAATTTTGGGTGAAATCAAGAGTCATGATTTGAAACCCAATGGTGGCAATATTCTTGTAACAGAAGAAAATAAAGAGGAGTATATCAGGTGAGAGAGAAGGCTCCTTTTGACATAGTTTAGTCTTTCTGTTCGACTACTAATTGCCTAGAAATATTAGTAGACAATATTTTTAAAAATAAATTTTGCTTTTTTACTAATCATTATGAAACTGATCTGATATTATTAAGGACACAAATGATCACTTTTTATACCTTACAAGTGTTGAGAGAGGAACAAGGAAAATGCTATGGGAAGTCAAAAGAGGGAGACATCATTTCATCTGGTTGTAATCATGGAGCAAGTAGCTGATGATATTTCAGTTGAGCCTTTCAGTTGTGTAGAAACAAGAGCAGAAGTTAATGAGTGGAGAGATGGAAGCTGGAAAGCACAAATCACAGACAGTACCAGGGAAGAGTATCCATGTGTGTGAGGTACCATCAGGCAGCTCAGCGTTGATACCCCTTTCTACCATGTCCTGCATTTCAGAATCCAAAGAAAATGAATCTTTACAAGATGTGGGGGCTAATAAATTATGATAACCCTTAAACGAATACTTAGAACAGTTAGCCAGGTGGTTGATTAGAAGCCAGATTATAAGAAATTAGGACTAAATTCAGTAGACAGTCTAAATTTTGTCTTCAAAAAATCTGGCAACAAAACAATGAGAGAGAGGTTGGACAAATTTTTGTGGAGGTAGCAAGGTAGAGTGACTATCCTGCAGGTAATTCAAATGAAACCTTACGAAGAATTAGTGTAGTGGGTGTTAGTGGGCTTTATACCCCCTGTCTGGTATATATACAATTTAACCAGAATTTTGAAGATTTATGAAGTGATAGAAAAGAATTTTGGTTATATGAAACTTACTTTTTCTCCTAAAGTGGGAATTTTAATGGTAGAAGTAGTGCTAGATCACTCTTTTAAATACCAAGTCTGTAATCACTATGAGAACTGATCTTGTGTTATTAACATGTTATTGAGAAGCATCTCAAGTTTATATGCAGATACTTTTCAAGGGGGACCGTAGGATTGGTGAAATTCATAAGTGAAGTGATGGTTTATAGTATATCCTCTGTTATGCTTTGCATTGGTTCATACTTTTAGTCTTGTTCATTGACATATGCTTGACACCAGATCAGGGTTAGACTTCACATACGTGCTTCTTGAGTTCTAATTTCTGGGTATCTTGCCTGCTTTTCTACTTTGTAAATATTAATATATTCATTCTAGCCTTCTTATATTATAATTAGTATTTGCATGGTATATCTTCCTCCATTCTTTCAATCCTGTGTCTTTGTATTTAAAATATGTTTCTTAGCAGCAGCATGTTCCTGGGTCTTGCTATTTTTATCCAGTTTGATGATCTTTACTTTTTAATTGCACTGTTTAGTACATTTACATTTAATTTTATTACTGATGATTGGACTTAAGTCTGCCACCTTGCTGTTTGTTTCTTATTTTCCCCAGTTTTCTTTGTTCCTCCTTTTCTACCTTCTTTGAATTAATAGAGTAATTTTTTTCTTTTTTTATCTCTTCTGTTGGTTAACTACAACTCTAATTTTTTTAGTGAGTGCTCTAATGATTATTATATGACTCTAACTTACCACTTTTAATTAATATCCTATTAACATTAATATTATATTTAATAATATAACATAATATCACACTACCACTTACACAATGTAAGAGGCTCATTATAGTATAATTTACATGTATCTCACTATAGCCATTTGTGCTTTTTGTTGTCATATTTTATTTTTTACATTATAAACCCATAATACCTTATTAGTCTTGCTTTATGCAATCAATAGATTTTTAAGGAAATTAAGAAAAATTAGTTTTTTATATTTGCTCACATTACCATTTCTGGTTCTCTTCATTTTCCCCCCACAGATCTATTTTTCCATATGGCATAATTTTCTTTCAGCATTAAGAACTTTCTTTTCCATTTATCTTAGTGTGTACCTGTTGGCAATAAATTCTCCCAGATTTTATCTGAAAACATGTTTATGTCACCTTCAGTTTTGAAGTGTGTTTTCACTAGATTTAGAATTCTAGGTTTTTAGGGTTTTCCCCCTATTTTAAGCACTTCCAATAATGTCATTTTACTGTTGACTTCTATTGTTTTTGATGTGAGCCATTGTTTTTCTGAATGAAATGTGTTTTTTCTATGTTTTTAAGATTTTCTCCTTAATTTTGGTTTTTAGCATTTTGACTCTGATGTAATTGTGATTTCTTATATATATATTTATCCACCTTGGCCTTTCTGAGCTTCTATGTGCAGTTAATGCCATTTATTTTAGCAGTTGTGGAATATTTTGAGGCTTTATCTCTATTGATGTTCCTTTTACTTGATTCCCTCTCTGCATAACTCAGAGATCTCAGTTATATATATATTCGACCTTTTATATCATCCCTTTTATATCATGGTTCTCAGGTGCTGTATATATTTTTTATCTTCTCGGTCCGTCAGTTTGGATCATTTTGATTGATCTGCTTTTGAATTTACTTCTCTTAAACACATTCAGTGAAATCTTTGTTTCAGATGTTCTGTAATTTCCATTTGGTTCTTTTAAGAGTTTCTCTGCTGCCCTGGCCAATGTGGCTCAGATGTTTGGAGCATAATCCCATACACCAAAAGGTGGTGGGTTCAAGTACGTTCAGGGCACATACCCAGGTTGTGGGTTCCATCGACGGTTGGGTCACATGCAGGAGGCAACATATAGATGTTTTTCTCTCTCTCTCCCCTTCCCTTTCTTTCTCTAAGAGCAATTTTCTTTAAAAAAAGTGTTTCTCTGCTGAGAATCTCCATCCCTTTACTCATTTTGGCCATCATGTTCTTTTTTTTTAATATATCTTTATTGATTTCATAAAGAGGAAGGGAGAGGGATAGAGAGATAGAAACATCAATGATGAGAACATCATTGGTCAGCTGCCTCCTGCAGGTCCCCTTCTGGGGATCGAGTCCACAACACAGGCGTTTGCCCTGACCAGGAATGGAACTGCACGGTCTCCTGGATCATAGGTGGATGCTCAACCAACTGAGCCACGCCTGGCTGGGCTGTCCATCTTGTTCTATAAATTCTTTTAATACATCTTTAACAGTTGTTGTTTTTAAAATCCTCTCCTCGGGATATTTTTCCCATTGCTTTTCAGAGAGAGTGGGGGTGAGGAGAAACATCAATGTAGAGAGAGACATAGATTGGTTGCCTCCTGCACACACCCAGACCAGGCTGGGGATAGAGCTTGCAACTGAGGTACGTGCCCTTGGTTGGAACTGAACCCAGGACCCTTCAGTCCAAGGGCCAACACTCTAACCACTGAGACAAACCGGCTAGGGCTGGAATCATTTTTTTATTGTGAATGACACTTAGTAGAGACTCTGGATTGTTTTTCTTCCTCTGAAGAACACTGAGTTTTGTTTTGACAGTCAGTTAAATTAAAGGCAGATCTGGTCTATTTCCATTTTGCCTTTAGTCCTAAAACATAATCATTATTCCTAGAATATGGTTCTTATTCCTTACAATGGTGGACCCAAGGTGTTTACCTTTGTGATATATGAGTGCTTAAACTCTGTCTCTCTGGCATTAAGCATCTGCTGAAATTTCTGCTTGGATCTTTGGCTTACTAGTTGTTGCTGTGCATGGGGTTCCTTGAAGTCTCATCATTCTATATGTGTATATTTAGGAGTCAGCTAAGGATTTAAAGTACATTTCTTCTGTGCAGACTTGGGAACTTCCTCTTTGTCTTCTTTTCTGAGATTTTCCCGTAGCAGCTTTGGCAGCTTCAAGCTCCCAACTTCATGTTACCTCAGCCCAATAAGACTGTTCTCTGTGCTCTGTGTAAACCATGAAGTGCCCTCAGGGAAAAGCCTATTAAATGTGGAACTGGTCCAGTGTGGGAACCTCCTTCCCCACTAATATGCCTGCCTTTGGTTTCCTTCTGATGCCGTCAAACATTTTTAAAATAATTTTCCCAGAGTTTATAGTTGTAATTACCAGGAATATTAGTCTCATACAACCTACACTCCCATTTTCTAAAATTTCAGTTTTCAGGAAACTTTCAGACTCTAGTTGCCTTAACTTGTCATTAAGTAATCAGATGCCTAAAATATGCATTTGTTTGCTCATTAAATTCTTTTAAAAGTAAATATTCTGTAATAAAATGGGAAAGAAAACTGTTTTTGTTGTGATTTTTAACTTTATGCCTTAGCTGTGTAACCACAGAGGTGAAGACGAGAAGAAAGTTGAGGTTTTAATCTAGAATATTTAGTAGAGAAGAGTTTTTATTAAAAATAATTTTCATTCAAGCCCGGCCAGTGTTGCTCAGTGGTTGAGCATCGACCCATGAACCAAGAGGTCACTGGTTTGATTCTCAGTCAGGGCACATGCCCATGTTCCCCAGGAGGGGATGTACAGGAGGCAGCCAATTGAAGTTTCTCCTCATTGATGTTTCCAGCTCTCTATCCCTAACCCTTCCTCTCTCTAAAATCAGTTAAAAAATTTAAAAAAATAATAATTTTCATTTAAAAAATTCCAAAGGAAAACTTGTAATTTAAAAGAAACTTAAGAGGTTTTTGCAATGTATAAACTTTTTTTTTTTT